AAAGCTAATCAAAACTGTTGCAGACATAACTGATATTGATTTAATTATTAAACAGTTTAATGCTTCTTCGCCTTTTCTTCTTTTTTATCCTTTTAATTCCCTTCCTTGTGCTTCTTTTTTCTCTGCTCCATTTAACAGCAATACTATAATATAGACGAACTATATATGTAAAATGAAAAAAATGAATCACTGACAAACCATGATTTGGTTACACCATTTTTAACAATACTTAATTTATAATCTTAGGATTAAGTCTGTACTGAGTAGTCATCAAAAACAAAAAAAGACAAAGGAAATAAAAACCTATTCTACAACTGTTAATTTTGATTTACAAATTTAACATAAAACTGTTTCGCTGTTGTCGACATACAATTTTCTTTTTGTTTGTTCACATTTTTTTCCTTCGCCTTTGCTGCCACTTTTTTCTTCTCTTCGTCACCACCCCCCTCCCCCTTCCTTTTCCATAAACATTGATTTTTGTTGTAAAAATCTTAGAGTTAAAAAGAAAAATGAGTTGTCTGTGATAAAATAAAGTGACTTGAAAAAAAAAACATAAAAACAAAAATTGAGAGAGGGGAAAAAAGAAAGAAATTAGAAGGATTATACAAATGAATATATTTTAAGCAAAGACAAATTTGCTGCTAGTGTAAAAGATGATAAAATCAGTTTGGAGTGATGAATTATGAAGAGAATAAATAATTAAATGAACGACCACAATGAAAGTGCATTACAAATCAGCTAACAATGTCGTCGTTTGTCGCCATCTTTTTTCCTCTTATCCTCTCCCCCTCCCCTCTCCTCCCTTCTTATCATTCACTCTTCATCCATTCCTTTAACACACCACCATCACTATTCATTCATCATCGTCGTGGTCGTTCTCAGTTAATTCCAAACAACAAAATCCTCTACAACTTCCTCAAATTCCGTTAAAAAACAATAAAAAAAAAAGCTAACCGATACAAAAACAATTACAACTGTGCCACTGTTGGTTCATCGAAACCGTGACAAACAGTAACGGCGAAAGAAATCCACTTTTTTGACTAGATTTACAAAACAATGAAATGAAGCAAACAATCTGCTGTCAAATGATTCCAAGCCTCAAATGTCGGCTAAAGATAACACTCTATTTGCCTCAGATTAGCTCAGAAAATAAATTTTAAATACAAGCTTTTTGAGAAGCAGTAGTGTCAAAAATAAGCTTTGGAAATTATCAAATATAAAAGGCTCTGTTTTCTACAACCGGTACAATCTATAGCGTTATTTAACGTCTGTCTGTCAACCTTATTGAAAATCAACATTTTTCCTTCCCCTGACCAATACATGCAAAATACCCAAAGTATAAACAGAATAAACAGCCAAAAAAAAAGAAAACAAAAGAGAAGGTTTATGAAACAAAAACAAATAAATGACTTAAAAAAATTGTAATATATCAGAACAGTGATCCATAAGAAACAATACATTAAAGAAATGTCAAAAAATCTTTTGCATTCTTATGCCGTAAATCTTAAATTTACCTTTTCCAGACAAATTTGTTCTTTAATATAAAACAAAAGACCCTTGTGCTTTTCTTCAACGTAATAGTTGGTGCGACATTAAATGATATGTGGCAGGCTGCAAAACAGAAAGAAATTCCCCAAAAACAAATACCATGTTGATTGAAAAAAAAAAAAAAAAAAAAAA